TACATAGCGTATCACATCAAGCAGACGCGCACATATGAAATGCACACACATGCAGCATTGTTATTACAGAAAATTGGAATCTATGGAAGAAAATGAAAGAGTCTCTGATGAAAAATGTGAATGTCAATAGCTGTGGGTACACAAATGCAAACATACAGATCACTCTGTGATGTGCTGATGACAAATATCCAGACATGTATAACCTGGGATATATTTTCCCAGTTTTTGCTATGATAAAAATATTGATTGTTTTACACATTTCATTATTTACATTTTCTGGCTTTACTATGCTGGAAGCGCTGCACTCTAGCACACTCTAGCACTACCTTTGATTGTTTCACCCATAAAGTGATGAAAAGGGTCCTGTCAACACATTAATACACAGCATAAAATGTAATTTAAGTCTTTAAAGAAATATAATTAAACTATTATCTTGACATTTCAGTTATATAAGTCCATTTGATTCATTTTTTTTTCGTGTTGCCTATATACTTCTTTATTTTTATGACTACCACTCATCCACTATACATGAAGCAAAAGAGTACTGTTACTTGCCTGAAGGTCTTTGCTTTTTCTTCATCTTCTTTTTTTTGAGCGCCCACATTCCTAATCCTTTATAAAAGAGCTACACAGCTCTTATTTTAAATTAGAGTTGATTGTGTTAGAGCAAATTGAATTCATATTTTAAATTTGTAACAGCTTGAACTGCTGCTTGTAATGACCATTTTTGATGCCAGGTAGTAGATAGCAGGCCTGTAAAAATCCCACAAATCTGAAACTATCCATCTACCCAAGATTGATTGGGTTTATTACAGAACATCTGATAGAACTTGAATTCTGTATCAGAATTCCTGAACAGTCCAGTCTATGTGTGTTAAAATAACATAAATAAAGTAAAATTATACTCAAGTGTCAGCCAATAGATGAATGGAAAATTGGGCCGGCCTCTTTGCTGTGTGTGTGTGTAGGGGGGTATAATGGTGAAATGTGATGTGACAATAGGATGGTATTGCTTTAAGGTTACAGTTACTTTTAAGACGGGAAAGAACAGTTGAGAAGAGGACAACATATTAAACACAATGAATGATAATGGAATGAGGCATGAAAATAAATAAATTAAGTTATCCTTTAAGAGCATACTGCAGTGATAAAGATCAACCATAATTTAATTTACAGGATTTAACAAAGGTGGAAGATTATGGAAAGACCTGTAGTCCAAGGTCAACTCCACAGTCAAGTTCATGTACTAAATTTTAAGTTTGACTTTTGGTTTTCAATTCATTCTAAACTTTTAACCCTAGTAGTAATGTATTATCATAAATTGCTTGAATCATAATCTATACTATGCACAGTTGTTAGCCTGGAGAGGAGGAGAGAGAAGGGGAAGGAGGGAGACAAACAGTTACCGTTAACCTATGCCACTGGTTTTAGAAACCCCAATGACGGCTAGTATTAGACTTTGCTGATTGGTTATTGATTTTGCAGGACAACATTTAGGCTAGCAAATCTCAGATGCAAAGATCCCCCCATCACATTGACTGTAAAAGGGTTCATTGATTTCATGTTAGCAATGATACTTAACTCCTAGTTAGTTTATAGCAAGACTCCAATAACCCAACTCATGCCCTGTAGGCTTAAATAAAAAGGTTGATCATTTCCTTAATTAGTAACAGCAGCCCTGTTAAACTTGCATTCCATTTACAACATACTCAAAGCAGTCTTGTAACTTCCTGTCAATCATTAACCTATTGTATTTTTTCTAAAAATTATACTTTTGTCATAATATGACTCAGTACACAGCTTTAGTTTGTCTCACACTTGTGAGCATGCTTGGAAGCCTGAATGCTCTCAAGAGCAACAAACAGAAACCTGATGATGGCAAACGTCTCACCTCATTTTAAGTTGTTTTAAGTTGCAAATAACGATAATCTCATGTGAACTCTAAAGTCAGATTTAAGAGTTGTGTATTGATTTCCCAGATTAGTCCCTGTTGTCACATTACAGGTCTTCTGAGAAGTAAAATGATGGCGTAATGTGAAACAAAACAGCATAATTACTCATTCCTTATTTAGACTGTCTTGTATTTAACATCAGAACATATTCCTTTATTGGTTTTTATCTTTATTATAAGGTGATAATTGGAGCTTTTGTGATACAAAAAGCAGCACTCAGTGTTACTAATTGTATGTTAGACATTGATAAATATCCAACACTAAATGCATGTTAGTAATGAAAAAAAACAAAAAACAAATCTTCATATATACACAAGCACTTAAGTGGTAACATGTGAAACATTATCTATTTACAGGAGTGGGAGTGATGGATGTAATTTAATGGCTCACATTAACTTCCTGGAGGGCCTCACTCTCACATCTTCAATTCCCTTGCTTTTTTCCACCTTCACTGGAGCAGACCAACTTCTTAATTGGCATAATAATGTGATTAATTGCTTTCTTGTCATTGGGCCCACTGAGTTTTACACTGTAAAGAAGTATAAATCAGGCGTGTATTTACAAGCAATCAAATGCTCACGATCGAAAAGAACATATAAAAGATGCCCAGCTGTGCAAAGTAATTGGTTCTGCTTTATTAGCTGTGTATTATTAGTTGAAAGGAAAGGCATTTGGATCAAGAGGATGAGTTATTTTGGCATGTAGTTTAATTTTTCTCCTTTGCAGCTAAACATTAAAATTAATTATTTTTTTTTTTTTCTGCTGCGTTGATATTAAATTGTAAAAGCCACATGACAGTGTTTTAGAAGGATTTTCCTTCTATTTCTGAAATATGTGAACCTGACAGTCCTGTGTTGCCGTCCCTACTGCAACAATATCAAGAAAGATTTAAATTTAGATTCCCCTCATGGGTTAACAGCCGTGTGTGCTGCAGCTGTACTAAATGGGCTGAAACATGATATAAAACATACATTTACTTTTCCATGTTCATTTAAACACAGTTGTTACGGGCTACTAAGAGTGACTCACATGACTAAAATCTAATTTAATTTGAATACAAAAAAAAACCCTCATGTTTGTGATTATAAAACTAATCGTGTTCTCTTTCAAGGCTACTTCTAACCTATGAAATCATCACCTCTTGTCTTTAATACATGCTGCCTTTCCACTATGAGCTCATTTTGCTCTCCAAGAATCCTGCTTCTCAGGAAGACCTTTTATCTTTTCTCACTTTCAGCTGATCAGTGAAATGGGTATAAAAAGAAATTCCCACAATGTCCCTCACCCTTTGCCAGACTACAAAATGAGGCACCAATTATCTGGGTTTGGGCTGTGGTAGTTAAGAGCAAATGCTGATGAAGCTCTGATGTCTATAACAGCATCCAGGTGCTCTTGCATATTAAGACACTTTATGGTCACATAATTAAGGAGAGAGACTATTGTCTTGATTGGTGTGCATCTTGACTCCAGGTGGCAAATATTGTGCTAAAGCATCTTTACGAATGAAAGCTAAGCTTGTGGCAGGCAGGGGAATTGATGGCAATATTTCTGAGTATGACAGATAGTCAATTAAAGGTTATTAAACCACATTGTGTCATATACTGTATTTCTTTCTGAATCAGGATCAACTTTATTTTCAAAGTACAATGAATACACAGGCATTTGTCATGATAGCACTCAAGACATTTGCAATGTTGAAAAGTGCATTCCTGTACATGTTAGTTTCGAACTAAGGGACTTCACACAGTGCAAGGGGACAGTGACAGTCTCCATAAAAGTATAATGTAACAACACTCATAGTCTACAGCCATGTTCTAGTGGGCTCTGTGAAGCTGTATTTAGCCACAGCATTGCTTTGAGCCAAATACAAACAGAAAGATGGAGATGAAAAGTCAGGGGATCACCAAAGTTGGGGCTGCATGAGTCTCTATTCCTAATTTCACAGCAGGCCATCCAAAAGTTTTCGAGATATTTCACTCAGAGCCAAAAAAGTCATTGTGGTTGCACGGAATGAAAAAGTCATCAGGATACATTGTGTATAGACAGTATATCTAAAGGTTGGTGAGTTAACTTACTTTTACCTGCTGTTGGTGATCAAAATCATTTGGATTCATACTCAGGGGATCATGAATACCTGAACAAAACGTCACGCCAATCCATCCAGTAGCTGACATTGCCATATGCCGTGGCTAAAACTCAGAAGAGCATCAGCATCAGGGAATTTGTTTTTAAATCTGGAATGTCAAAGACATTTGGCTCATTTGTAATATCAAGGGCAGACAAAAAGCGGATTATTATAAATTCAGCAAAATCACCCCTTCACAGCCCATCAATATTCTGTGGCCATTGTGAGGGACTGGGTTCAGGCTTAACGAGGGGATCCAACGGATAAATGATCAAAAAACAGGACAGCTATTGTCCTTGAACTCTTAATGGCGTACTAATAGCGCAGGGTGTCAAGAGTGATTTTAACAAGAGTGTCCTGAGTCAAACTTTTTTTTTAATCTCTCTGCCTTTGGACTTGGAGGAGATAACTGTCTCCTCTTTCTCGTTTTCTCTCTCTTGCTCTCTCTCTCTCTCTCTATCCCTCTGTCTCTTTCTCTCTCTCTCATTGCATTACCAACTCAGGCACGCCTTTTGCATAATCACCATCCTGTGTTTCCTCCTGCAGTCTGGATAAGGGGGCTCATTATAGTAGAGAGAGTAGAAAGCACACTGGTCTAGGTCACACTGTTTGCTATGGACTCAAAAAAGATCAGGAACTTCAGCTGAAAAATCTTTGAACAAAAACCTCACCATGAACTCGCATAGTGACGCTGTAAGCCTTGCTTTGGTTAAAATAAAATAGAATGAATTTATATCATTTCATCATTGAAAACTGATGTGCAGACAGTGTTCCCTGTCTCTTTTATGTCTAATTTCCAAGCATTGTGTTTCTCAAGATGTTTGAAATCGTGATCTTTCATCGTATTGATTCTCATTGTGGCTTTTAAGCTCACCTGAAATATCTCTTCTTATTTCTACTTCTTCCCTCCCCTCTCGTTTCAGATAAAAGACTGAAAATAGGGACGACCAGAGCAAAAGAAGAGAGAAAAGAACAGGTCATGGCTGAGGGGATGATTGCTTCTCAAAGTGGTAAGTTGCAGACATTTACAGTCTCTTAGCTGTTTTGTTCCAGAGACTTGTGTGTTCATTTTGGACGATTTCAGTACTTTTGCGTCAGTCCTGGTGCCGTCATGGTAGAGTGAAATTGACAAATAACACAAGTGTAAAAAAAGCCCTCTCTGCGGTCTCGGTTTGGTCAGGTTGACATGATTACGTTACTCAGTGTACGGTGTATGGTTCTTATTCAACCATTTCTACTGTTTTTCTTCCTTCAGCACACCTTCCTTTCTCCATTTATGGTCATTCCAGGGAGAAATATTACTCCTCCAATCACAGACCCTTTTTGAACACATAAATATGCAATTACCTTATAAGCAAATTGAATTCATTGTAACGGGCTTTGCTGGACTTTTATCCAGAAATACACCTTTATATAAATGACACTGGACCTGTTCAAGTCTTCCAGCTTCATTGGCTTTATGTTCTCTGTGTCACCAAGTTGTAGTGTTGAGTCAGTGTCCCCTGTTGCAGCCACTGACACACAAATCATTGCTGGATAATGACTTGATCCGTCATCAATGCAGCCAGGACAAGCAGGTCAAACCAGCAGGATGTGTGCCATATAAGGAAAAGGGTTGTCACCCTGTATTCTCTGTCGCACCAGGAGCATCTTTTAAATTTACAATGAGTCCATGAACTCTTCACAGCTTCTAAAGAAAGCGCCTATGATTCATAAATCATAGGTCATAATTCATAAATAATTGAAGATTATAGGTCTGGTATAGCAAGTACTGTGTAGTCCTCTTCAGTTGTTGCTTCATCATGAGGGGTGCTGTGGATTATCCTGTACTTATTCATTTACTACATGGATTTTCCTGTACTATCATTCATTTTTAAGATAATGTACATATGGCATGTCAGAGATGTATATGAGCATTCTAAACCAAGGAACAGTTGGATATCCGTGTATAAAACATGAGATCACCTGTTCTTTTTATGAAATAGCCTGACCCTGTGAATCCAGGTTAATGCTCATCCCTCATTAATTTCCTCTTCAAATATTAAGGGATAAGGAATAAGTGGTTGAAGTGAAGAAGGAAGTCATTACAGATACATTTTAAACCCTGATAACGTTACTCTGCATAAACTCTGCAAATGAGGCTGCAGCTGAATATTCTCAAAGTGGTCTTAGTATATAGGATGTACAGTTTGTGATTGTCTAATGCAAGGTTTGTGATGTATAAAGTCTACTGCACTATACTCTAAACCTAGACATTAGTGAAGCCCTATTTTTTCCTGCATACCTACAGAACAATGCAGCTCAGCTAAGTAATCTCACACAAAACATAGTGTGGTTACTACCAGGCAGAGATGCACTATAATTGTTATAGTAGAGTAATTTAGTTTGACAGTATATACTGACTGAGGATATAGATAATGCATGAAGGGCGGTGGTTGCCATTCCTATATGTCACATCTAATCTTATTTAAACTGTCTTTATGCCATCCGCACTGTGCATTACACTGTTAAACATCACGGAACAGTGCATCCCCTTCAGGCATGTTTGTTTTGCCAGGCATGTTGAGTGCAGTCCATCATTTCTTAAGCCAATTCCTGTATTCAAGAAAAATATCATCTTGACAAGAGTTTTAATTTACAAGTCAAACTCCAGTTGACTTCATCCGTCAGCAGCCAATCTTTTGTCAGATTTTAAATTGCATGTGTGCGAGTGTCTAAATTTGTAAGTGTGTGCACCTGTGGGGACAGCACACATCCTTGTGCGAATGTTTGTGTGGCCAGACTTCTAGTCTATGTGTGACTGTGTATGCAAGTGCGTCTGCATCTGTGTTTGGGGAAGAAAAAGAGATAGAAAAGCAACAGAGGTGATGTTGTGTGAAGAGAAGGGAGGCTGCAGACAGATAGTGTCATTCCCTCAGTATCACCATTAAATCTTAATCTCCTGGCCTCTCATGGGAGGAGCCAGCTGAGCATGGGATTGTGTTTTGCATCTAAATCAAGATGTGGCGTTCCTTCAGAGAGCGCTTTATTGAGACAAAGTTTGATGTGTCTGTTCTCTACTTCACATACGTCTGGATGCACAAGCTGATCATCCAGCTGCTGTTGTTTGTACTAAAAGTCTTGTTAAATTCAATTGCGTCGTAATTGTAACATCTCTAGTCAATTAAAAAAAGAGAGAGAGAGAAAACAAAACTCCCTAGAGTATTTACGTTATCTACCACCGTATGGAAGTTTCAGCAGATTGCATCATAGGGGAGTTTTTGTGGTAGTCAATACCACCAGCTAAACCCAGAGGCTATCATTACATATTAACAATTCCTTTTTTTTCCTAATACTCACTGATTGACCATATTAACTAAATTTACTTGTTAATTTGAGTCTACAATGTACTAACAATGACGGAAATACTGGTTCTTGGACTAACATTGTGTTGCACTCCTTACTTATCTGTTCAAACTGTAGTAGAGACCCCGTTTCATCAATTCTGCATTCATGACAGCATAATGTTTTTAAGAGTTGAAGCATTTTCGTAAGGTACCCAACAAACCTACTAAAAAGATCGTACTGGTAATGATCCTAGAAATAACAGAATTGGTAGAAAATCCACATTTGCGATTGTTTAAACTTCCCTGAAGAAAAGATTGATAATATCTTCTATTCTTTATCATTCATCCTGAACGAAGTGCACATCAGTGAGTAATTGGAAAAGTAAACTAAAATTAAGTTTGGTACTGAGCAGTTGATGGTAATAATAGCACTGAAATAGCTGGTGGTGTTGTTCAAACACTTAACTTAAGGAGTAGTTTGCCCTCAATATAAGAAAAAAACATCAGTCATGTTTTAAGAGTGGCAGTAATTTAGATGTTGACAGTTTTCATCCTATATTTCATCCCCCTGTGAACGCCACCCCAGGTGTGATTAATTTACCAAACACAGTACATCAGTCAAGGCATGTTGCATCCCATTAGCTTCATTTTGTTTTGACCTAAACATTCCTTATGTTCCAACTCCGCCATTGTTGTCTGTTTGTCATTTCTGGCAAATGTTCAGTTTCTCAGGAAAAGTAGAGATAAAAAGTAAACACACACCGCCTGGCCCTTATCGCAGCGAGCTGTGCTTCCATATCCTCTATCAGCAGGAAATGGCCCGTACCTCTGCACCACCTTCTCATCTTCTCAGCTGGGAGAAAGAGGTGAGCAGTAGTCATGGCACGTTGCATTTCAAGATGCCTCGGGGGTTACCCCTCTAAATTCTCAAATGACACACTTCATTCCCGATGAAGCTACACAAAAAAAATCTGTGACAGGGATTTTAATTATGTTTCAGGCAAAACTTAGAGTGTTTATCCAGAGGGCTTACTCATTCTGGTGCTGACATTTGGGGATAGAGGACATGATTTGTTTTTTTTTTTATTTGTTGTTGTTATTTTTCTCCAATGAAGTGCTACATTCTCCCCAACATCAATTGGATATGGTATTATTAGATCTGGCTGCACACTTTTAGATATGAAAGGGAAAAATAATCTCTCTGAAAGAGGTTGGCTCTGACAGCACACTGAGATGTAATGGAAAGCCTGGCTGCTGTTTCAATGGGAGAACACAGTAAGAAGACTGGTTTGGAGAGGGAAGCCTGCTCACTGCAGAAAAATTACAGGGATAAACCAGCAAGGATGCTAAATTTATTGTTCTGTACCTAAAGTTCTGATTTATTATGGATATTTTATTTTATTTTTATTTTTTTCATGCAGCTCCATTTTTGTAGCTTGAAGGCAAAGGCTCCCTCTTGATTCTAAGACAACTGTAATTTAGTGAAAGATGCAGGGGAGATAACATATAGGAAATAAATGAAATATAGATTCGTTGTGTGTCTTACTGTGTCTAACTGTGAAATGTCAGAAATTGTAATTATCGTCTCTGAGTAGATATTAATTTATTTTTTTCTTCATAATGAGATAGACAGCTGGTTTACTGGATGTGGATGTCTTTTTCCAAATTTTGAAAGACACATTCGTGGAAATGGAAATCACATTGCATTCATTGTGTCTATTATATTTTCTGCGCTGCCCACATGCCTCATTATTCTTGGTAATAGAGTCATTTCTCCTCCGAGTCTATTGATTCATCATTATTTTCCGAACTCTTCCTTTCAAACATATCATTTGAAGTCTGGCAATTGCATTGCAAATGATGCCAAATGATGCTGAATTGTTGTTGTGTGGATCTGCATTGTATTTCTGTAGTTAAACCTAGTATTTTGTGATTTTATTTTTTCAAATAATTTGGTAGTAATACTGTACGGAACATGTTACAGGACAGGTAGCTATGACAGATTTTTTCTTAACCTGCAAAAACAAAAAGGTCAAACTCCTCATGAACTCTATAATACTATAAAGTGGCAAAATGATACAGTAGGCTGTACACTATTACTGCTGCTAGACAAAGTGAGTAGAAGATGACAAGGTCAAAATGGTGGTTGGCATCAAAAGATTGTATCACTTGAAACTCTCTACATCCGAGACACACAGTGCACTCAGTGAAATATGCCTAGTGATGCCTTTCATTAATAGTAAGTAAGTAAAGATATTTTTCTGTATATAGCACTTTTTATATGATAAAAGTTACAAAACTCTTCGCAATAAAAACATGACATTTCAAAAAGGTGTAATAGTAACAAACAAAAGAACAATAAAGTAGAAATAATAATTAGTTGTTGTGTTGATTGCTTAAACGTTTTAGTATAATACAGTATAATGTAAAGCTAGTGTTCATTCTCGTACATTTCATCCGATTACCCATCACTCGTCGAGTTGCCTCCAGTATTGTTAGGGCATGTGTCGCATCTTTCAGAGGTTGGATTTGCCATTTTTGTTAGAAACTCGTCATCTCTTATTGTTTGGTATGGCTAACCTTCCATTATCCACTGACACTGCCCTCAAAATGCTATTATGGGCTGATTAGGGAAATGCCAGCAGTGATCAGAATTTTTGGCCTTGATTAGAGAATATTCACCC